GGGGGGGGGGGGGGGGTGAAGATTACTTCGCGTGGAAACGCGTTTAACGTTTCTAAACAGGGAAAGGTGTAGAATAGTACTTGATATTATACATATATAGCAGAAATAAAACGTAATTTTTCAAACTTTTTTTGATCATAACTTTTTAACGAAGGGCGAGCGACGGCTAAAACTTGTTGGAGGTTACTCAAGGTCATGACCTTGACAACATATGTCAAGGTCAAGGTCATCGGAGGGTGGTCCGTTATAATGCATAATTACCTTATTTTTCTATAAGAACGCCATTTTCCCATATATTTGTTGTATCGAGAAAAAAATTATCCTACTCTTGTTAGTATCACGGCATGACTATTTTTACGAATCATCTGTTACTAATAGTGTCAATATTACTTCCCAGTCAATATTGAATAATTAAACTTATAGATAGATCTTCAATTTCGGAAAGAGATGGACGTCGTTTGGAGCAAAGTCCGAAGATTAGAGAAGGTATTTCAAAGTCCCAAAGGACCACTTAGGACCGCGTTCAAAAACTTTATCCAAACGTCCTAGTGTGACCTTAGATTTGTTCAACATTAAGTAAACAACAAGAATAAAACGATAGGCATTCGAGTAACGTTCCAACACAAATGTTCCTTAAGTAAAAAAATAGTACTTTTCAATACAAGGGCGTAAAAGTTTTTTCTGCAAATGTGCGCGTTGCGTCCCGAGCCGAAGGCGAGGGTCACATGCACATTCGTTGGAAAAAACATTTACGCCCATGTGCCGAACAATATTTTTTTGTTGCAGTGTGCGAAAAGTGCCCTCGAAAATCGAAAAAATCACACTTTACGCACACTGTAACAAAAAAGATATTTATTTTTGAATTGGTCATAGTCGGTTCTCAAAAAGTGGACACGCTGTGATGTACACACAACATGTAAAAAAAACTTTGGTAAATGTTTCGCTTTACACAGTCAACCTCAAATGACTTCCAAGTGACCTTGACCTTGAGCCTCAAGAAGATCAAGGTCATTGATCATTCCCGTCGCTCGCCATTCGTTGAAAGGTTATTAACCAAAAAAGATTTAAAAATAACGTACTATTTTTGCGTGTATTCTGCGTAATATTTACGTGGATAGTCGTAAACTGCTAAGTTATGAAAGCTTCTGTTAATCTTCATCCATTTTATTCACTAACATGAACGTTGAAAAGTTATTAACCAAAAAGATTTAAAAATAATGTACTATTTCTGCTATACATATACGATATTAAGTACTATTCTATACCCCCTTCCCCTATCTAGATAGGAAACACCTACTTTGTTCGAAAAGAACTGAATGTTGCGAAGTGTATATGCGTTGATGCAATGGGGGGGCTCCACGACTGTTAAAAATAACTTAACCCATTCAGTGGTATGAGATAGTTCTCGTTTCGCGTAGAAAGTCGAAACCCACGTGCAACAGTACAGGCTGACTTTTTATGCGAAAACACTTCCACGATTGTACTATTGCACGTAGGTTTCGACTTTCTACGCGAAACGAGAGCTATCTCACACCACTGAATGGGTTGGGCTAGGTTATTTTTAAGTCGTGGAGCCCTCCCGCAGGGGGGGGGGGGCGGAACCCACTGCATCCACGCATACACTTCGCAACATTTAGTACTTTACAAACAAAGTAGATGCTTTCCATTTTTTAGATATTTACCATGGAAGTCGTATGTCCGTGCATAGGGGGGAGGGGTATGAGAATTGCTTCGCGTAAAAGGTTTAACACATCTAGATAGGGGAAGGGGGTGCCGAATAGTACTTAATATCGCATATGTATAGCAGAAATAGTACGTTATTTTTAAATCTTTTTTGGTTAATAACTTTTCAACAAATAACGAGCGACGGGTCAATAACCTTGACCTTCTTGAGGGTCAAGATCAAGGTCAAGGTCACTCGGAAGTCATTTGAGGCTGACTGTGTAAAGCGAAACATTTACCAAAACTTTTTCCACGGTACAATAAATTCATACAGAAAATGGAAATTTTTTTAAAGTAACGAAATTGTATCGACTTCAAAAAATTTACTTTGTATTTTTAAATTTATTTTTTCTTTTACTAAAGTAGGGAAGCTTTGAACTATCACTCTTATAAACCCATTTTTTCTCCCATTGTTTCTTTTTAAAACCAAATTAAAGAAGACACAATTTTTAAGAAAAAGAGTTATCTGATTTTACGATCTCATTTCTTTTAGGTCAATTTTTAGAATTATTATATGAATAACATTCTAATCATATTAATGATGATTCATAGTATATGTATATTACTCAAAATCGGATCATATACATTTGAATTTTATTTTAAAATAACTGAAATTTGTTATTTTACATAATTATTTCATTATTCATATATTTTCTTGCATATTCCTTTTTTTATAAATTTTTATTATAAAATACTATTATAGTAAAATAATATTTAAGGTACTTTAAAGTATAATTTGTTATGTTTACAGATGGACCGTGTACTACCGAACGTATACTTCTAACTGCTTTAACTAGTATAGACATGATGGTTTACTAAAGTAAAATAAATCATAAATGTAGGTATTGTTCTCAGCGAAACCAGTGTTCGAAATAAATTTTGTATTTTGCTAGCTTTTCAATTGTTATATAAGTAAAATAATTAAAAAATTTTGTTAATTAGATTTAGTATTCACGTTTTGTTTATACAAGAACTTTTATCGTAACAGATGAATTATGAAAATTTGTCTAGTTAATGGGTTTTTTAAATTGCTTAGGCACACATCTTTACACTAATATTAAGTAAATTTCCTCCATTAAGTTTATTTTACCCTAAAATGCTACCATATTTATATAGTTTAACCCTTTATGCTCATTACGAGTCAAAATGAATCTAGCGTAATGTAAATCTCAAAAGTATAATCGTGAATTTCAGATAGAGTTGCGTTTCAAGACCGACCATTGTTCGGTGCGCAAGACGGGGGAGGGGAAATACATATATTATAAATATTACGAAGAATATCATTACGTCGACCCGCCATCAGAGGTCTATCGGTATTCGCAAAATTCTCGTAAGTGCTTTAATACGCGTATATCTCTTTAGATAGAATCTCGATCAAACAACTATCTCAGGCGTATAAGGTAGGCTTCCACTACAATGCCTTACTGATGAGCCCAGTACACCAGTAGTGGAAGCCGGGACGAAACGCCAAAAATCAAGTGATATTCTTCGTAGTTTATTAGAATAAATTAATGAATATGGTCACATTCAGGACCGAAAAACGTTAATTTAATTTAATTGAATTATATTAAAGACAATTTCTCACAAAAAAGATCCAGTATATATAGAGGTATATGCTCATTATTTATTTTAGTTTATAATCGTGAAATTCGTGAACCAAAAATTAAAAATTTAATAAATTTAAAAAGTTATAATTTTAAGTAAAAAAAAAACACATTTTCTGAAGTTAACTTGTTACAATTTTTTTCAAAATTAAAGTTAAATTTTTCGCTACAACGCCATTATTCCATTTGCTTGATGAATAAAGTTATGAATAAACTGTAATTTTTTTAAGTGTCTACATGAAGGGTTAATCAAAACGCATTCAACTATACACTGAGAAAAAAATGTTGTTGATTCAATTAAAATCTCTATCACGGGCTATCACTAACATAAGTAATTAATTCATATACATTTTTATTGATACAAAGACTTTTATTATTGTTTAAATAATCAAGGCTTTATATCAATAAAAATGTACATGAATTAATTACTTATGTTAGTGACAGCCCGTGATAGAGATTTTAATTGAATATATTGATATTCATAATCAAAACGTTTATATGTCATGTATTAAAGACAATACAAGGTCTGGATCATATATCTATAATAAAATTAACAGGAAGGCCAAAACTGAACTGTATATCTGAAACAAGTATGCTTTCATTATATTCGATGAAAATATTTATGTTAAATAAAAAACAATTCACGTAAAAGAATTACCATGACATACAGAATAAATTCATGATTATTTATGTGTGATAACACATTTTTTAAAAGACTATATAAACATTTTATATTTATTTTATATAAGCTTTATTTAAGGACGTTATTAAAATGTAAATTAGATGTATTATATAATGTTTATGATGAAATTGATAAATATTTTTAATAAATATTTTTAATAAATATTTTTTACTTAAATTATAGTGCCTTATTAAGTATAATATAATCGTAGGATTTACTATAACAAATACAATAAATATTTAATAATTTTTGTAATAAATGTTTATAATCTGTGCAATTTGAGATTACAAAAGTATATAGATAATATTAAAAATATAAATCTTAAAAAATATTTTTCTAAATTTTTTATAAATATTTTGTTGTGGCTGGGTAGATCTTGTGTAAAATAACAATGAAATATGTGTGAACAGTTCAATGAGAGAGAGAGAGAGAAAGAGAGAGAGAAATGATTTAAAAATTGTTTATTTATGTAAAAATAAACAAAAAATGTCGAAACCATAAGATATCAATATTAATTTTAAAATTCTTATACCAAACTATTTTAACGTAATACATTTTATTATTGAAAAATAATGAAATGGAAATGAATATATACAAGTACATGTTCGAGTTAGTATTACATACGTATAATCAAATATGATGTTAATAAACGTAATAAATTTTTTTGGTATAATGTTATTACGAAATTGATTATCAGAACAATCCTTTCTTACAGTATTAAATATTAATTGGAATAATAATTTGTAAACGTATACTTATGAAGATATACGTGATTGAAAACTGGTTAACTTACATTCCAAAACCTTGAACTAGGTCAGAGATCAAACTATAACAGTTTTTTATATTTTAAAAATAAATCACAAAAGATCAGTATTAATTTTAAAAGAATTCTTATGCCAAATTGTCTATTTTAACGTAATACATTTTATTATTGAAAGATAATGAAATACCATGAAAAATGACTCATATATTATGAAGGTGCCAGTTTAAAGTAACATACACCAACAGTTCCCAACTTTACGTCTGACTTGAATACCTCATTATGTATGCCAAGGTTTTTTACCATTTCATTATCTTCCAATAATAAAATGTATTAAAATAGACAATATGGTAAGACAATTTAATAAGATTTCTTTTGAAATTAATACTGATATTTTCTGATTCATTTTTGAGATATAAAGAACTGTTATTTTGATCTCTCACCTAGAATACTATATTTGATTCAAGATTTTGGAGTACATAAGAATTCTTTTGAAATTAATACTGATCTTTTGTGATTCATTTTTGAAATATAAAAAACTGTTATTCTGTTCTCTCACCTAGAACACTATATTTGATTCAAGATT